CAGTGGTTTGATAAAATCTTTTATAAAGTTTTTATCTAACTTATATCTATGTAGTTTCATATATGGAAATTCATTCTGTGAAAGTGAGATATTGATTTTCGTAAAAATTATATTTTTACGAGACTCCGTCCTATATTGTTTTGTACCACTCAGCAAATATGCTGAGCGTACAGTATTTTTGGTTTTTACTGTGCGTAGGTGATGTAGCTGGAACAAGTGGAAGTGCAGGACATGGCAATTAAATCCGTTTTGATAAATACGGTTATGTGTTTATTTATTTGCTTGAATAAAAAGTTTGTATTTTATTTTATGACGTTATGTTCACAAACATATTGTGTATTAAACTCGTTTCCGCTGTTTTTAATAAACATTTATATGATGTTTTTATAAGAAATTAGTATATTTCCTCTTAACTCTCTAATTTGGAATAGTCCACGAGACTGTTCAAGTTAGAGTGTTACACCTACATCTGCGTGCGAGCTGATGAGAACTAGGAACAAAATCCAAAGAGACCAAGCCTTCTTGTAGTTTCTCACGTACAAAATGGCAATCAATCTCGATATGCTTTGTACGTTCATGGAACACAGGATTTCTCGCAATATATATCGCTGCCTTGTTGTCACATTTCACAGGAATGGGTATAATATCGGGAACATCCAATTCAGTTAGCAAGCGAGAAAGCCATGAGAGTTCTGCAGTGACACGGCGAAGGGAATGGTATTCAGCCTCAGCAGAGCTTAAAGATACAGTATGTTGTTTCTTGGATTTCCATGAGATTGGGCTGCCACCAAAAATAATAAAGTAACCACTTACTGAACGGCGTGTGATTGGGCAAGCTGCCCAGTCAGAATCACAATAAGCTTGAAGCTTAAAATCTGGAGTAGAATTGAAGAAAAGTCCTTGAGCTGGTCTACAGTTAAGGTAACGTAGGGTGTGAATAGCAGCGTCCCAATGTGGTTGTCTTGGATCACTCATGAATTGGTACATGATTGATCCTTTTTAAGTTTCAAAAATCCATAATTAGTCCTTCAAGTATGCATAACCCTCCATATGCAGTCTTTCAAGTTTCAAAAGTGCATAAGTAGTCATTCAAGCTAAGTATTCATCAACCCTCCAAGTACAGTCTTTTTTACGACACACGTTAAAAGATAAACAGATTACTACTTTCACATATATAATACGAAGTACTTGTAAATATACGTCGGTGATTATTTTTTTTACGTATAGGTAATTATTGAGTTTCCACAATTCCAATCAAAGTTTTGTGTTTTTTACTATACAAATTGAACCCCTTTGAAAGTAAATTATCCACAACAATTATAATGGGAGGAAAAGACCCACAACGTTGCGCTGCTTGGAGGACGCACCTGGGCACCCATTGCAGGTCAGAAGTTGCATATGAAACTGAGGTGGAAGTTATATATATGGAGCTGGTTGCATCAAGCACCCACCCATTGCAGGTCGGAAGTTATATTTATGAAGCTAGTGCTCCGTTTAACTTTTAACATGTACCGTAAAAAGGATTGTATTTAGAGGGTTGATGAATATTTGAAGGACTACTTCTGGACTTTTGAAACTTGAAGGACTTGATTTAGAGGTTTTGAATACTTGAAGGACTATTTAGGAACTTTTGAGAGTTGAAGGACTGATCGTGCACAACTCACACATTTGAAGGACCAATGATGGATTTTAGCCAATAATTTTGTTGTTTACACCTTAATATGGTTAAAAAAAATCACACTCAATAGGAGTAGAACATAGAGAAAGTAATAAAATAGAAGTTCCATATATTATTATTTTCTATATAGGAATTTACACTGTGGTAATGTGGCACTGTACATAGACATTTTATTATACTTTTTGGTAATGTACATAACCATGATTGATAGTGTAAATATTAAGGTTATTTAGCTCATAATTATTTCCAAAAAATACGTCTACCTTTTTTTTTAATTCTTTTATTTTATGAAAACACAAAGATGAAATTTGGAACAACTCCCTCGGGCATGGCTTACAAGGCATGGAGAATTGTTTGGGCCGCGTAAAGCAACATGTGTTATGTGGTGAGGTGGCAGACGTGGCAACAGCAAAGCCACGACATTGCTGGTTCTCTTAGTTATTATCACAATGTTTTTTCTATGCTAAATGGCAGTGGCACCGCAATGTCAACGGTACTCAGTGTGGCAGTGTCACTGGAACCGTGCCTTTACGAAGATAACTATGTTTCGACACATTGAGTATATTCATGAGGCTACATTTTACACTGATAATTACGATGATAACGCATTGAGTTAATTTTACGATCATCAGGCCCAACAACCCATATTCACCAATTTAGCCCAACAACCCATATTCACCGATCGTTGGGATCCGACCAAAATTGTCATTCTATGAATATTCAAGGCCAGAATTGTCACCAAATTTTTAGGAAGTCCAAAATTGTCACCGTAATTTTAGGAACTCCAAGTTCTTCTTCCTAAGGGTTGCCTTGTACTCTTATTTTTCAAACATAACATTTAATTTGTACACTTTTCAGAGTATCACATATTCAAGAAGCGAGAGTGAAACATGAAACAAACCCTTCAAATGTGTTTCTCATTCTTTGATATCATCAATGAAAATAGGTTTTGCAGAGAACATTTTAGATAAATTTATTCACTAATAAAAAAAATTCAAATACACAATTGGGAAAGTTATTAAACAGAAAGAGATCTTTAGAAGATCTGATATGCTTTGTTCCACATAAATGAGGAACCACATATCAACACATTAGCTACTTAAACAGATTGACCAAAATACATTTCAGTTGGGGCCAATCCATTAACTTGGTGCGATCTTCATATCTCATCTGGTTGGCTTTCCTAACTCTAAATGGGGAATGATGTTATGGACATGTAAAGTTGGTAGTAGACATTATTATTGGAAGACATAAACATGTGGAAGACAAATGAGCTATCACACCATAACACAACATCATCTTGGAAGCTGGAAACTTCTTGAATGGATCATATCTATCTATCTATTTAGACACATTCCAATGGCTAGCTACTACATCTAATAAAACACAAAACAAGGTCTTTCTTCATAGAAAACAGAGTTTCTGCTTTCAGAAATTGTTTTCTGTGATTATCTCATTCAAATTCATACTTCAAAGGAAAAATGACAATCGGCATGTGGCACATTCTACGTGGGAAACACGGCCTCAGAAGGCCTTCTTCAAGAACTAACAGAGAGAGTGAGGTTCCCAAGGGTCACTTTGAAATTCCAGCACTCACAAGAAATAAATCACAACAGAAAACAGATGCAAGCATAAACTGTTATTGAAAGAAGTGTTGCAGCTTTAGAATACACAGGATGCTACAACACCTTTTTCAACAGTCACACACACAGGCAGAAATTTAAACACACCAAGACACAAAGATTTGTTTACGCAGTTCGGAGCAGTATCTCCTACGTCTGCGAGGCCCACATTCGTGTAATAGCCTTTCCACTAGATCAACGTAAGAATTACACTATCAAACTTCAATAGAACCTTCTAATGAATCTGACTTGTCTACTTACGAGATCTGACAGCAAACTCGGTTTGTGTCCTCACCAGGCCTATTACACCTTCTTCTTGCTCTGCACGAAGGATGTGTTTCTGACCCTTGCTCAGCCAACCAGGTTGCAACAGCTGAACAATATCTAGAGAAGATCCATGACTGATCTTCTCATGCAATTCTCTCTTAGTTTTGTTTTGATCAGGACCGTTGTGATCTCACGCTCTCTCCTTTGATATTCTGAGTATAATTCTGCGTACCCTTCTCATCACCACGGCTGTCTCTTTTTATAGGATGTCCATAACCCTAGTGGAGATGGTATGGAACTCTTCAGGTGATAAGCTTGAATAGCAGACACTCCTAGCACACCACCACTTCTTCCGTAGATATGCTCCCCCTATTTAGCACGTGCACAGGAGATAGTCATCTTGAAGCAGTTCCTCTTGATGCTGGACACTTCATGAAACCTCCTTGACATATAAGTCTCTACGTAAGTAGAGTCCATACCGTACATAAACTCTATCACATGACTGACAAGATGCTACAACTCTTGACTTAACATAGACTAGTTAACACTTCTACAGAATGGGTTTTGTCAAAAAATAATGCCAACATAAAACAATATCAACATCAACTAGTCGGAGCTAACAATCTCCCCCTTTAGAAATTTTTTGACAAAAACCACTATTCAGCTATTTAGCCGTTTTTGAACCTCTTCACCCCCTCTTTTGCATAAAAAATGCCAAAGATATTTTATTGAAAAACACCAAGCTCCGGGGCAAGAAAAAGGAAGAGTAATATTCAATACGGTGAAGAATAGGTACATGAAGAAAACAAAAAAGAGATTCCTAAAGAGTTGTACCTACATCAGTCACCCCAAAAAGAGCCAAGTACCCATGAGAGAGGGTAGGCTCTTGTGCTGTCGTTGCTTCATAATGCATGCAGATAAAATCAGAATCAAAAGAAGTCATAACCAGAGCTTCATAGAGAACATAGAGAATAAAACCAGCTCTCCACAGGTCACAGATATGTTTAAACACAAAAACCATGCAATGTCTTCAGCATCATAAAAAAACAGGGCAGAACAACTCTTCCACAAAAAAATGTTTTGGAGCAACATTTTTATCAGTAAGGCAATGTTCACTCCTCTGAACTGGCACCTTCTGATGATTCCTGAGAGGCTCCTGCTGATTCTGATGATGAAGTCTCTTCTGCACTATCTTCTTGGACATCTTCTTCTGTGTCTGAATGTACAGCAATTGCCTTTTGTTTAGCTAGTTTCTCCCCCTTACTCTGTGCACGTCTTGTTTGCCTCAGGGTGTGTGCAATCTGAATGATAATCTGCATCCATTTGGAGGGATTTGATCTCCTTTTCAAGAAAGCTAAGCTGGTAATCTGCGGAGGCTGGATTTGGTGCTACTGCTGAGGATGTTCCAGCTGTAGCCATGTCATTGAAGTGACTTCCTTCCAAGTGCCTACTATCAACCTGCAATAAAGAGGGTATGGGTTCTTCTTCTTCATTTTCCTCCTTCTCAAAATCTTGAATTTTGCAGCTGCAAAAGTCATCACTTGCTCAAACACAATTCTTCCCAGATCAAATGGTGCATGGTTTTTGATTCTGTAAAGTAGAGTGGCCATGCAGAGGGGAACTGTGTTAGTGTGTGTGGTTGGCAACCAGTGGAAGGCAGCAATTCTGAGCAGTAGGGCATATGAGCTTTTGAGCACAGAGGATGGTACTTTGGTTTTCCCATGTTGAAAATCCCTAAGGCCATTGGTAAGATCATTCCACATAGTTTCTTCAGCAATAGGTGTAATTGCAGGGTTGGTGGTAGTGCCAAGAAAATTGTTGATTACAGAGGGTGAAAAATCATAGAACCTTCTTCGAACAAAAACTTTATGGTAAGAGGGATCATCAGCATCAACACATGACTTAGATAAGTTGCTGTAAAACTCTTGTATTACTCGTTTCACAAAAGAACCAGGTAGAGTAACAGATTTGAACAGCTTATTTGAGTGAAGTATGGGCAGAAGATTTGTTTTCTTGCTAAAATCTGGCACATCAAGATTCCTTTGCAGTATAATTGATTTCTTCACAATGTCAATAAAAAAAGCTTTAGTAGTAATAGAAGTGAAAAGCTTAACCGAGGGCTTCCCTGGACTGTTGCCTGGTTTGGTGACCTTTGAGCTTCTGGTCTCCCTTCCTTGTGCTGATGAAGATGAACAGCCTGCAGAGGATTTTGCCTTTTTGAGTGAAGATGCTGGTGAGGAGTGTTCTTCTTTCGCTTTTCTTTTCGTCATCTTCTTCTTCTTTGTCTCAGATTCTTGGGCTTCTAGCTGCTCGTTTGTTGGTTCCACCGTCATCACCGTTGCCTTGGCCTTTCTCAGAGACCATCGGGTAGGTCTAGAGATGTTCTTCCTTTTAGTGTTGTCTCCGTCAGATCTGGGCACAGAATCTTGGAAAGGGACTTCAGAGCATGCAACTATCGGATCTTCTTCAAGGATTTCCCCCATAATTTCTTCTACACAGTGCCTTTCTCCAAGAATAGGGTTTTGCTGTGTCTCTTCTCTTTGGAGATTCAGTGGAGTATACTCCAGAAGTAACACTTCGGTTGACTCTAAGATTGGAAGATGCATACCATCGTCGTCTGAGAGAAGGGGCAAGACTGCTGGTTTTCCTGCCGCTTTAGAGTATGTTGTAGCAGATGATGACGATTCTCCCTTTGAAAAAAACTTCGTCCAAGAGGGCCTGAGAAATGTCTTCTTCTTCGCCTTTGATTTCCCTGTCCACCTTTGGGGTAGAGCCATTTTGATGCGCACCATGACTTCTTGATTTTTCTTGGTGCGTTTCCAGTTCAGCCGCTTGATTTTGGGGTTTTCTCTCTCTAGACACACGCTAGAACATGATTTTGATTTTTGAAACTGTGACCCTTCGGTTTCCAGGTCAGGCATGCGTCATTCACAGTGCACCGTGCCCATGCATTTTGACATATGTCACTATTTCAGCGGATGAGTATTAATTTGAACACATTAGCTAACAATTTGTGTTCAATTGTGATTATTGTGACATATTAATAAGGTGCACACAGACCCAATTTGGATCTGAGTGTTTCAAACCTGATTCCATCCAACGCCTTTGTGAAGATATCAGCCAGTTGCTCTTCTGTATCAACATGCTCTAGACTAACAATTTTTTCTTCCACTAATTCTCGTATAAAATGATGCTTAATGTCAATGTGCTTTGTTCGAGAATGTAACACAGGATTTTTTGACATACTAATTGCACTTGTGTTGTCACAATATAGTGGTATTGTCCTCTGTTGTATTCCATAGTCTGATAACACTGACTTCATCCATAACAACTGTGCACAACAACTTCCGGTTGCAATATATTCTGCTTCTACAGTAGATAAGGATACGGAGTTTTGTTTCTTACTTAGCCATGCCACCAAATTTCCTCCTAAAAAGAAACAACCCCCAAAGGTGCTCTTCCGATCATCTATATTACCTGCCTAGTCTGCATCACTAAATGCTGCTAATTGTGCTGGACCACCCTTCTCATACCATAAACTCATGTTTTGTGTGCCTCTGACATATTTTAGTATCCTTTTGACTGCTTTGAGATGTGACTCCTTTGGATTTGCTTGGTATCTGGCACATACTCCCACACTATAACAGATATCTGGCCTGCTAGCAGTAAGATACAGCAGGCTACCAATGATGCTTCTGTATTGAGTTTCGTTCACTGATTTTCCACAGTCATCCCTGCTGAGCTTTTCATGTGTGGGACAAGGTGTTCTGGCACTTTTGCTGTCACTCATGTCAAACTTTTTCAGCATGTTCTGTATGTATTTTGCTTGTGAGATGAAGATGCCTTTTTCAGTTTGCTTGACCTGTAATCCCAGGAAGAACGTTAATTCTCCTATCATGCTCATCTCAAACTCCATTTCCATGGTCTTTACAAACTTGTCAACATGCTGCTTTGAGGTAGACCCAAAAATAATATCATCAACGTATATTTGAGCAATGAGAATGTCAGATTTGTACTTCCTGTAGAACATTGTGCTGTCTGCTCCTCCCCTTTCATATCCTTCCTTGAGAAGATAAGTGGTCAGTCTCTCATACCATGCACGTGGAGCTTGCTTCAACCCGTAGAGAGCTTTCTTCAGTTTGTAAACATGATCTGGATGTTTTGGATCTTCGAACCCTTTTGGTTGTGAGACATATACTTCTTCTCTAAGATAGCCATTTAGAAATGCAGTCTTCACATCCATCTGGTAGAGTTTCATGTCAAGGATGCATGCCATACTGATTAACATGCGAATGGATTCCAGCCTCGCAATTGGAGCAAATGTTTCTTCAAAATCAATTCCCTCGACTTGTGTATAACCCTGGGCTACCAGTCTTGCCTTATTCCTGACTACCTTCCCATCTTCATCTGTTTTGTTTCGAAAAATCCATTTTGTCCCAATAACATTAACACCTTCTGGTTTTGGAATCAGCTCCCATACATTGTTGCGTTCGAACTGTCCTAGCTCTTCTTGCATAGCATCTATCCATGGTTCTTCTTTAAGAGCTTCTTTTATGTTCTTTGGCTCAACTGGAGAGGTATAGAAGGCGTTTATCATCTGGACAAAATCTATCTTCTTTTTCCGAGTCTGAATGCCTTCTTTTGGATTTCCTATGATATTTTCTGATGGATGATTTTTGTGCACATGTGTGGGTATCCCTGTTGATTCCTCTGGTGTTCCTTCTGACTCCTCTGATCCTGTAGTTTGATCCTCCTCATGGTTTATTTGTTCTTCAGACCCTGTCTCTTCCTGTTCTGAAACTATCTCAGTTTGTGTTTCAGCAGTTTCAGAATCATCACTGCTCCTTCTAGGATTTGATCATCTACCACCACGTTTATTGATTCAATTATATTCCTGGTCCTTTTGAGCAATACTCTGTACGCCTTGCTGTTTGGTGAGTAGCCTACAAATATTGCTTCTTAACTTGTAGCCTCGAACTTTCCTTTCTATTGTCTGTCTCGTAGGACATAACATTTTGCTCCAAAAATGTGGAAGTGTGCAAGATTCGGAGTTCTTCCTTTCCATAATTCATATGGTGTAGCCTTTGTGCCTCTCCTGATGTATGCCCTATTTATTGTATAGCATGCTGTATGAACTGCTTCAGCCCACAAATTCTGAGCCAGATTCTGAGTGTTTATCATTGTGCGGGCCATCTCTTGTACATGCCTGTTCTTTCTCTCTGCAATTCCATTCTGTTGTGGGGTCTTTGGAGCAGAGAACTCATGCCGAATTCCTTCTTTGTTGCAGTACTCACTAAAGGGCTGACTTTCAAATTCCCCCCCCCCCCATGATCACTCCTTACACGAATGACCTTTTTGATCTTGAGTTGTTTCTCATTCTACACTTTGTTGCACAATATGACAAAGGCCTCTAGTGCGTCATCTTTGTGTCTCAGGAAACTTACCCAGGAATATCTTGTGTAGTCATCCACCACTATAAGCACAAACCTCTTCCCTCCGATGCTTTCAGTTTTCATTGGTCCAAAGAGATCAATGTGTATCAACTCCAATGGTCTTGTGGTAGATTGATATATCTTTTTAGGATGGCTTGCTCGTGTTTGTTTCCCTTTCTGACATAGACCACATACTTCACCTTCTAGTCTCTTTATCTTGGGCAATCCTCGAACTGCATCAGAGTTTGAGAGGGTTGTGAGATGTTTAAAATTTAGATGACCAAGTCTGTAGTGCCATAGCCTTGCATCTTGTTGGCTAGCAGGAAAGCACAGAACATTTGGAGTGACTCTGTAGCAGTTGTCAGTTGTTCTGTCACCTTCTAGTACCACCAGTTTGTTTTTGTCTTTCACACAACACTTTTGTTGAGTAAATGTGACCTCCAGCCCTTGGTCACATATCTGGCTGATGCTGAGTAGGTTCACCTGAAGTCCTTGTACAAGCCACACATTCTTGATCGGTGGAAGTCCTGAAACATTTAGTATTCCACACCCAACAATTTTGCCTTGTGCTCCACCACCAAATCTAACATTTCCTCCCTCAACTGAGTTGATGTTAGTAAGATTCTGTCTGACACCAGTCATATGATGAGAACATCCACAGTCCAGTAACCACTGATCAGGAGTGACTCTGAGGCATGAATTTGCTACCATGACCCTTTCCTTTGGAACCCAAATCTGCTTGATCTTCTGAGTTCTTGTTCTTTTATTTTTGAGCCTCTGGCATGCCCTCTTGATATGCCCCCATCTTCTGCAGTAGTAACATCTGTAGTTTTGATAAGTCACTGAGTTTCTTCTATGATGTTTGATATTGTGGCTCCTGATTGGTTTTACTGCTGGGTGATAGCTGTTTCTCATGTTCTTGGTTATCTTCACACTGTCTTCCTCGAGTAGATCATTTGTTTTGGGGTGGCTATCACATCCAATTCCTTGTCTATCTCCAGGTGCTTTGAACATTATCTTCTGTGTATCCAGTACTTTAGATCCGGCTATTTTCATCTACTTAATGTAGTCCTTGAGTTTTTGTAGTTCAAATTTCAGATCTACATTATCTGTTTCTGCTTTCTCTAGATTCTGCTTCAGAGCCTTTAGATCACAAGCCAGCTGATTCTTTTCTGCTATATTTCTTCTGTTAACCATAAGCAGTTCAGTCCACTTTTCTTGAAGATCCATGTGTTGCTCAACTAGGTCGTCTGACTCTGACTGTGAGATAAAAGCGCAGTTGCTTTCCTCACAACCCTGATCTTCGTCAGTATCCTCATCACTCCAGGTTATTGAGAATGTTTGTCTCTTCTTTTTAAGGTTGTTTGCACACTCAGTCTGGATATGCCCATGACCACCACATTCAAAACACAGCGGCCCTTTGTACTTAGAGCTGTTATCATACGACTTTCCTTCCTTGAAACGTGATTCCCTGAAAGTGGATGTCTTAGAAGGCCCTTCTTGAATTTGGTTCTTTCCCTTCTTTTGAATCCACTTCTTTTTTAACTGCTTTGTGAATAGAGATAGCTGTTCTTGGAATTCTTCATCAAATGCTAAAACATCTTCACTATCATTCTCCAGATCAGTTCCTAGAAAGGCGATTTGCTTCTCTGGTTTTCGTCTCTTGCTATCCTCCTTCATGTTTAATTCGATTGTTTCAAGATTACCCATTAAAGCATCAAGAGTCATCTTTTTTGCATCATGTGATTGAGAGATTGCCTTGACATCCATATCAAACCTCTTTGGTAGAGATCTCAGCACCTTTAGAACAAGTTTTGATTCTGGAAACGGCTCTTGTAATCTCGCTGCTTGATTTGCAAGGTCACGTACTCTTCCATGGAATTCTACAATAGTTTCTTTCTCATCCATTCGCAGATTTTCATATTGTGTCATGAGAATCTGATACTTTGCAGTTTTGACCTTCTCATCACCTTCATGTGTGACTTCAAGAATATCCCATGCTTCCTTTGCACTAATACAGTTTGAAATGAGACGGTATTGTGTGGCATCAACTGCACCAAAAATAGCATTTAGGGCTTTATCATTATGCTCAGCAGCCAGGACTTCAGTTCTGCTATAGTCTTCAAATTTCTTGACAGTTGTTGTAGACAGATCATCTGAGTATTTTACTGGTTCTGTCCAGCCAGTTTCCACAGTTCTCCAGAATCCTCCTCCTTGTGATTTCAGGAATGCCCTCATACGCCCTTTCCAGAAGTTGTAGTTGTGACCACGCATCAGGGGTGGCCTCGAAACACTGGTTCCTTCCTCCATGTCTCCCATAATTTGTGATCGTTGAAAGCTAATAACTTAAGCTTAACAAGCTCTGATACCAACTGGAATTCCAGCACTCACAAGAAATAAATCACAACAACAAACAGATGCAAGCATAAACTGTTATTGAAAGAAGTGTTGCAGCTTTAGAATACGCAGGATGCTACAACACCTTTTTCAACAGTCACACACACAGGCAGAAATTTAAACACACCAAGACACAAAGATTTGTTTACGCAGTTCGGAGCAGTATCTCCTACGTCTGCGAGGCCCACATCCGTGTAATAGCCTTTCCACTAGATCCACGTAAGAATTACACTATCAAACTTCAATAGAACCTTCTAATGAATCTGACTTGTCTACTTACGAGATCTGACAACAAACTCGGTTTGTGTCCTCACCAGGCCTATTACACCTTCTTCTTGCTCTGCACGAAGGATGTGTTTCTGACCCTTGCTCAGCCAACCAGGTTGCAACAGCTGAACAATATCTAGAGAAGATCCATGACTGATCTTCTCATGCAATTCTCTCTTAGTTTTGTTTTGATCAGGACCGTTGTGATCTCACGCTCTCTCCTTTGATATTCTGAGTATAATTCTGCGTACCCTTCTCATCACCACGGCTGTCTCTTTTTATAGGATGTCCATAACCCTAGTGGAGATGGTATGGA